GTGTATAGATCAAGAAATATTTAGAATTACAATTAACAGGATATGATGATAGATAAATATGGGAAATGAGGGCAAAGTACTGATTGATTTATTCATTTATTCATTTGACTCAGCCACTGAGTGTCAAGAATCATTCTTGTCTAAAACACTGATCCCACAATGGATGCTACAGGACTCCACATTTTACTATTTCACTTTCACATATTTAGTAAAACTACTAATAAAAGCAACAGAAATCAAACTTCTGCTGTGCAGATGGCACAAAATGAGACAGATAGCTCAAAAATTGGTTAGCTGAATTAATATTCATAAAGCCTGAAAAGAGAGACTAATACAAACGTGATGGGTCCCCTGAGGGTAAGTGTAAGAATCTGGACTTAAGTTTTGAAATAACAACTGTGTAAGACAAAGAAGCAGATACAGGAGAAATACTCTACCCATAGTAAACACAAAAATCACATAAATGTTAGTGTGGCACGGCTAACTAAAATTTCATCTAATTCTAGTGTAGAATTAATTCACTGAACTCTGTGCTAATCAGACCACATCGCTTGTGGTATCACGTTCAGTGAGGTCAGTCATACTTGAATGACACCGACAAATTCAGTTTATCAAGGGGAAGGGCAGCAAGGTTCACTAGTGAATAAGGAAATTATGTCAAACAAAGAACAACTAAAAGGACTAGAGTAATGAACCTGAAGATGCTGCAAAAGATTGCACGTACATGCTGGCAGTCTGCAAATATTAAATACCCTCCTTCCATGGGAGGATACATACACTGTTGCTGAAGGGAAAGTCGTTCCAATAACTAGAAGTCACGGGGAGCCAGATTTCAGCTCCAGACGATGGAAAACTTTTAATAGGGAGCTACAACCAACAAGTGGATTTTCTTGTGAGGTGATAAGCTCCCTTCACCAGTACCATTCAAACCAAAGTGGGGGTAATCACGCAGAAGAGACATTTTAGGAGAGAATCTTGATTGAGTGGGTGATTGAACTCCATAACTTTTCACTCACCTCTAAGATTCTCATTACATTTCCAGGAATAAAGAGAAATAAAGGAGAACACACGGACACTTCATCTCTCTCACCCTGAGTCAGTTCCTCTCATTTTTAACGTAGTAGACAATATGGTACATTTAAAAGATCCCTGTCTGTGTAGAGTCTGCTGAGCTGGCTACAAGTGATCCAGGCCTTAGAAGACATGGAGAATAGCAAGCACTCCTACAGCTTGGAAGGGTTGTGTAAAGGTGGTAATATTTGAACTGAGCTTTGGCAGGTGATTCAGACTTAGTCTCAGAAGTGTAGTCTGGTAACAGGAACAAAGTAAGCCAGGCATGTTAGTACTTGCAGGGGTCGGTTTCTGTTATAGCAGATGAGGCTCCACCCAGTATTGGCTCTAAGTAAGTCAGTCCACTCATTCTGATACTCCCACTCATGAGGGCCTGAGCCAGTGCACTGTTTAACAGTCTTTCTCTGAGAATTGCTGCCCTTTAAAAAAAAAAAAAAAACATTAACAATTGTTAATTTCCTAGAACTCAATGTGGTAGCTATCTACCTCTGTCCTTGAAAGGCTTTGCAAGAATAATTCTTCCCAAGACAGATTCCTGATAATGTATAACCCTGCATCCGAGGCATCTGTTTAATGGGTCTCAAAGAACTGCCGCTTCCTAAAGAATCACTTTAGGGCTGATTGAGTTTCACTGGACAAATATTTCAGCCATATATTTGATACACGAATACATGCACAAACATGTAAAAATATCAAGCATGACCCTATGTTTGATGCTTTTCATTAGTATAGCATTCTTTAGCAACTTTCTGAGACACAATCAAACATAGCAATTTTTAAGGACACATGGAAATGGAGGAGTGACCATGGAATTTTTATAGGACAATAGGAAAAGCTGACTGGACTACAGCAGAAGTTAACTTTGGACAAACAATGGGAAATATGGAAAGTCAAATAAGGAATTTATATTTAATTTAACAGAAAATTGGAAGTTTGGAATTCATAATTTGGGAGCAGAAAAATGATGTGATGACAGCCTGTCAAGAGATGAGGGCTGGTAACAGGGTCATCAAGAAAGCCAGCATTATAGGCTCATAGATTTGAGATGGCGAACCTGAAGCAATAAAGGGGCAGTGGGCATGACGAGGAGGGGATGGGTGTGAGGGCTGCCTCGATGGAATATGAACAGTTCCTGGTGTCTGGTGGACAGAGGAGATGACTGGAGGTGGAGACGTCCTCCGACCTGAGCTCTGTTTTCCTCAAGCTCCCACCAGCCACGTCTCCTTCTAGCTCAGGCTGGAATGTATGTCTGATTTGGTCTCCAATCTCTCCTTGGAGCAAGTCCCCCTTATCCCCCATTTGCGGAGAATTTCCTGATCTAATGCTTGTTTTCTTTCATGAGTTATTCTTTACGGCAGTCATTTGGGAACACAGTGTTTCTACGTAGACAAGAGGAGAGCTGCATCAAGGACATATAGGTACAGAGAAGAAATGTCTATCCAGATTCAGAAGGAGCAGAGGGTGCTTTTGTCCACTTTCCAATATTGTAGGGAACTGAAGTATTAAAATGAAGAGTACGTTACCCTCCCTGGCCTAGAAGAAGGAGCATAGCATGGCAATAGCATTTAGCTTTCCGAGGCCCCCAAGAGCAAATTTGTGGATAAGACATACACCTAGTTTTCCTAGTTGTATCTGGAATCAAGACTTTCTGAGTCAAGGAGCACCCCATTTTCAAACTATTGATGAATTTGTAAACGAGTTTTTTTTGTTTCCTTTTGGCCAAAAAAGTAAGGATCATGCAAAGTTTCACAGGTGCTTCTAGTCTGTGCTCTTCCACTTGAAGGCTCTGCCTGGCAGGAATGAGGCTCACAGAACTCACTGAAAGAGAGCCATGTCCATCCTGGCCCCCTAAGGTAGCCCGATTCTTGTTTTCTCAGAAACAGTATCAAGGTCAAAGAGAGGGAGCCAGTGTTTCAAGGACACAACCTGAGGGGCTTCTCCGTTTCCCACACCAGGCCTACCCTGCTGCTTGGAATCCCCACATTACTCATTCCTTGGGCTAAGGCATTTTTTGAAAGCCCCTGTTAAAATGCAAATGCAAGCTGGAAGGGAGATTTTTTTTTTTAAGCCTTTAGGAATTAGGTTCAAGTTAATTTCTCTAAATAGGAAATGGAACTCAGAAAGGAATCTTATCCATCCATGAATAAAGGAGGACTAATAGGGAACGAGATGCTTCCCAGTGTCGAGGTCTCAGGGCAGTGATGGGGAGACGGAAAGTGCTGAAGACACACTTTTCTTCCTCCACACATGTTCAAAATGGTGCCTATTTCTCAAACCTCAGCCCGAGTGCAAACCAATGTACAGTTCAGAAGCAACACTGTACAGGAGACGAGAAGAGAGAAAGGGGCCCATAAAGGGCTGTGTGCTCAGCATATGGCCCCATCCTTTCTCCCACCTCAGAAATACTCTTACCTGCCTGACCATGAAAGGTGGATTGTCAACACATGAATGGACTCTGGAGAACTGCCCAGGGACCTCTCCACCACCCTCCCTGCTTGCTTTTGCTCTAGTTTTATCTCTTTGAAGCCTCAATCTCCTGACCTAGGGACCCCTAACCTCAACTCCCACCTCAATCCAATTTTTAAAACATGGTATTGGAAACTTGATTTTTCTCCTGAAGAATCTGGCTTGGCTCATCTCTTCATCTTTCATGTTTTCTCTCCACCCACCCTAGCCTCAACTCCATAAAATGCCATCCTCACCTCCACCCAGGAAGGGGGCACATGAAATCCAAGAATAATAGACTAACCAAAATATCAAATGCAAAGACTTATTGATTAATCAGCTGACATAGTCACATAGAACAATTTCCTTCTCTTTAAATTACCATTGCTATGTAGTCATGTCTAGTGTGATTAATCTAATATGATTTCCCCATTAGGCTAGAAACCAAAAGTATAGTTTCACCTTATAAGTCTTTTTGCTCCCTGTGAAATCTCTAGTACTTGGGACATAGCAAGCACTTAGTAAATATATTAGGAATACATAAATAGAGATTTATAAAAGCTCCGATTATACACAGAATGACTCACAGAAATGCTATTAATGGTATCTGCAGCAGCAGACATAACATGGACTGCAAGTCTGAACACATAAAGTCCGTTTTCATCTAGAGCCTTAGTCCCAAGATTGAGGTTACATGTAAGATAAACAGTATGTCTCCTTCATTATTACAATTTAAGAAGAGTAGGAAGTTCCCTTTGCCAAAAGTTATTTTCACCTGGCTCTCCAGAACCTTAAATTACTATTAATGGAAGCGATATTTTAAGCCCATTTGCAAATGCAAATATGTTCACAGTATGTGAAACACAGTATGTTAAATCACTTGCCTGGGCTCTTTTTTGAACCAAGAATGTTTCCTAAATTAGTTCTTGGTCTCTGGTGCCAAGTGGGGCTAATATTGGGATGGGGCATTTGGATGGGAAGAAATATTGGGCAAGGGTCTCAGGACCAGAGAAGGGAAGGGTCAAACAGGAAAGCCAAGTAAGTCTGTTGCAGAGAGGCTGCAAGAGGAGGAAATCCCCCTCTTCAGGATTTCCCACTGGCACACGGGACTCAGACAGGGCCAGCTGGCATCTTTGGACTGCTTCTTCTAGAGCAGAGGCTGCTCGGACACCCCAGCACCCCAAGGCCAAGAACGGCTGCCAGTTATTTGGTAAGTGGCACCTTTATTTCCTGCCTATTCTGTCTCTTAACTCACGAAATCAGATGAAGGAATCTGGCCTGAAGAGACACACTTTTGTAATAACCCACCTCCAATGTAGTCAATCTGAGAAGCAAACCTGATGGTCAAAGGTTTTAAGCATGGTCTCTGCAATCCCTTTTACACACTCCCTGGCCGGCCATCAGCACATCAGCACTTCTGCCCCAGATGCAGCTTGCAGCTGTCTCACACCACTCCCTAGGCATCTAAGCCTCCAAAAACATACCTGTCACAAATGCCCATCCACTGCAGCTCCAAAAAGAGACCAGATGCATAAATACAGCAGCATTCCCAATGAACACAGAAGCAAGGTATTAAGAATAAGCCAAAAGGAGCCTTTGCGAGCTCTCCATACCTCCTAAGGCTCCTTGTAGAGAGAGAAATAATGTCAGGACTGACGCTAGAACTCAAATGCAGAAAGGGGAACTGACTAGAGAGAAACAACACCACAGCCAGCGACAATGCTCTTGCTTGGTTCCAGATAACTTCTGCCGGCAGGTGGGCATTTCCACTGATGAGAATGACTACAGATGTACCCTTGGAGAGTGAGTGTAAAGCCCTGGGGAAACCCCCAAAGACAGCCCCATCCACAAACATGACAAAGACACCTTCCCTGACAGATTCACAAAGATCCCAGAGTACACACAGTCTTTGAAGCCCATAGAAAATTCAGCTCAGTTCAAATGTGGGCAGCCATGTGGCAGGCACTGAGCTCCATAGGACTTCAGAAGATAGTCTTCAACATAGAGGCCATGTGCTTCACCTCTAGCCCTTCTCTAAAATCATTCATTAAGTACATCTCTCCACCAGTCCTGCTAGAAGGCAATTGACATACACAACCTTCATTTTCAGATGATCCTAAGCTGACCCCAATTGTATGAATCTAGAATGTTTCTGTTACCTCAGTCCACTATTCCTGGAAGTGGGTGGTACTCTTGAGTTTGGCCACAAGTCACAAGCAGAAGTGGGAAAGGTGTGTAAATACCCAGTAGATTTCTCCAAACTTAGTGCTGCAGCAGGGATAGGGTTCACTCTGTATGATCCTGCCCCAGGTGCATGCCTCCGTTTTCTGCCCGGATCAGGCACTGCAAAGTCCTCTGCTTCATGTGGGGGACATTTATGTGCCTCTGAGAACTGCAGCACTTGAGCATAGGAATTGAGAAGCAGCCCCTCTGGGCATGTACCCCTGATCTCTTTGAGGCTGGCTGTGTCCTGTGAAGCCGGAGACATTAAAAGTAACAAAGAGGCAGTTTGTTGTTGACGGGGTTGTGGAGGCTCATCCACACAAAAGCGTGTGGTGCAAGGGAAGGAGTGTGGGTTTGGAACTGATAGGCGGGTAATTGGTCATATGTTACAATAAGTAACCGGTGGTCAAAGGTTCAGTCCTGGCTTGACCACGGGGCCCCAGGCCAGGTATTGAACACGTTTGAGTGCTCACGTCAGTCTGCTCACTTAGGAAATGTGACTCAGAGTCACTTCTTTATTGCATTATTGTGAAAAACAAATGAGATCTTGCCTGCAAATCACATGGCACAGAGTATTCCAAGTAGGTATTTCATCTTCATTATTACTTTCCTATTTTCTTTTCAGACTTTCCCAATTCTTTGACCTTTGCACAAAGGTCTCCCTTCTGTCACTAAAGAGGTCTGTAAACAGGTCTGTAAAATCCTTCACCTTTCATCCAGGGTTTCTCAAACCCACAGGGCTCCCCCATGATTTAGGGTCTTCACTCACAGGGTCATCACTTCCTCTCAGTCACTCCATGTTCAGAACTTGGAAACTTCATCCTTCATACAGATAGGTCCCACCTGGGGTTTTCCTCTGGATTTTACAATCACAGTTTTTGTTGTTGTTGTTTGAAAGGGTCCATTTGATTTCCTTATTGTAACATATGACCAATTATGCACCTATCAGAGCACAGGAGAAGTAACTCATATTTCACTTAATTTTCAAGTTTCCTTCTGTTCCTTGTACTGAGCAGTCCAAATATAAACAGGCTAAATTGAAAGGCTAGCTATCAAAATATTTGTAGTAGCATTTTCCAAACTTTCATAATTCTAGCTACTAGGACCACTTCATATCCATGTAAAATCTGTTCCATTAGTTAGATAGTATTTTTTATAACTTACTTTTATTTAGAAAGAAATCTTTATGTCAATACCAACTTAGAAAGCAGTATGACTTTCCATTAACAGATCAGCAAAAATGACTTGTCACATTGCGCTTTGGAGTCACAGACACCCCTGTGTTCAAACCCTGCTCCACTACTTAATACCTGTGTGTTCTTGGGGCAGTTATTTAACCTCTCTGAGCCCTGACTTCCTCACAGAAGTAACACTAACTATCTCATGGGCATGCCATGAGGATTAAATAGAATGGCATATATATGGTGCCTAGCACACAACCTGGCAATAGAAGGCTTTGAAAAAAATGTTGTTTTATTGTTTTCTCTTCCATAGCACTTCTTTAATCCACTGATTTCAGTTCCTACTTAGAGCAGCCTCCTCCAATGCTGTAACATAGTAGGATTTTAAAAGGAGTGAAGGAAGATGAATGGTGAGGCAGGCAGCAGAAGTGAGGGGAGATATGGTGTCATGGAATTCTCTTATTCTCCAACTTAGCTAGAGTTGTTGGGCTGTAAGGGACCTCAAAAGTCATCATTCCAGTCTCTCACTCAAGCAAGGACCCCTTCAATGTCACGACAGATGCATGTCTAGCCTGTGCTTTCTTACTTGTCAACTTGGAAAATTCACCGTCTGGTAAGAGAGTTAACAGAAAAATTTTTATAAATAATTCTCAAACTACTGCCACTCACTGCTCAGATGCATAAGTACCATCTAGTTGTCTCTGTCCCATTTTCTGGAACTACCAGAACATATTATTTTATCCTTTTATATAAGCTCCTCCAAATAGGTTAAAGCTGATTTTGTAAATTTCTTTCATAGTGTCTCCTCTCAGCTAAATACTACCAGTGTCCTCAACTGCCCCTCATGTCAATGGTCTCTAGGACCCTAGTCCATTGGCAGCTCTGCCGCCAGCACCCTTCTCCCTGAGTTAGTCAACCTACCTCCTTGCAGAGAAGGCTCTCAGGGCGGAACAGGCAGTGACAAGATCACTTTTGTTAATGAGTTAGAGATCGAAATTAGCCTTTCAACAGTTGCAGGAGGTTGCTGACCAGGGCTTTTTTTTTTTTTTTTTTTTTCCACATGTCAAGTCAGATCGCAACTCCCTTGCCCCGTCTTATTTGTGTGACAGGCTAGCAGTCAGCCAATCAAAATTCCTCTGACTCCCACATATGTCATCAGAGCCAAGGGTGGAGCAGGGCCAACTGTGATGGTGGTCAACAGTGTTGCCCTTGGCTGACAGGAGGCCGAGTCCAGTGGAGAAGATAAGTTCCTTGTGTTTGGTGAGGAGGAAGTTGCTGGTGAGGAGGAAGTTGCTGAGGTTACTTCAGAAAGCTGCTTTCTGTGTGGGGCTATTTCCTCCACTGCCTGATTCTCAGATGTTCTCAGGTCTGAAGAGGCCAAGGCTGCAAGGAAAAGCCACCAGAGGGGAAGAGGCTACACATGGCAGCTGGTGTGTGTGGGGGTGGAAGTTGCCCTCACCAAACTTCACCGGACAGAGTCCCCTGAGGACCACACAGTCAAGATCTACTCCATGTGCTAGAGCCAGAAACCCATGCGAGTCTAGAAACATCTGAACATTTAGCTGAGTTTTCCAATTTCAGCCATCTGTTTGTTGCTATATGGAAGTAGGCTCTTGTGGCCAGTGGTCAAGTCTAAAAGCACTCTAGGAGGCAGCGCTGATGGTAGTTTTAAGTTAGAATAAAGTAGTTTCCACAAATAATTAGATCAGCATTATTTATTGAAATGGTAGTGTTTGTTTTCTCAGCTTTCTTGATGCAGAGATTTGTGTAAGGGGGAAAGCAGAAGAGATAAAAAGTTAAAGGCTTATCCAGACTTTTTTTTTTTATACTTTAGGTTCTGGGGTGCATGTGCAGATTATGCAGGGTTGGTGCATAGGTACATACGTGGCAAGGTGGTTTGCTGCCTCCATCCCCCTATCATCTATATGTGGCATTTCTCCCTGCATTATCCCTCCCCACCCCCCACTGTTCTTCCCCTAGTTCCCACTCCACCCCCCGCCCCTGACCCGCCAACTGACCCCCGAGTGTGATGCTCCTTTTGTGAAAACCCACAGAAGAGATGATACAGGTGGCCTAGAGGTGAAAGAAGAGGGAGAGAGTGCTTTTGAAATGCAAGAGGAAGGGAGGGCAGGGGATGGTTGTATGGGTCCTGTGAACAGTAGAAACCCAACTACTCCTCCAGCAGTGCTCCTGAGGGGGTAGCAACCTCAGGTGTGATGGCTTATGCCTATAGAGGCAGGATACTTGGCTCAGGGGGCCCAGCCTCAGTAGATATTCTCATTCCCCACTGTGGCATGGGAGCAGGGAGCTGCCAGACTTTTCAGACCACTACAGGCTCAGATACCAAGGGTGCCGATGGCAACCAGGACAGACTAGGGACTTGAGGCCCTTCCATCATTTTCCAGGAACCAGTCGAATTTCTTGAATTCTGACTGGGCTGCAGGAAAGGAAGGAGACTCCTGCGTGACCTAGTTGCAGTCTCTTGTTTAACCGTCAGAATGGAGGCTTCAGGTGGGATTAGGTTGAGTTAAAGGACATTTTCAAAGTGATGATTTCTTATGTACTTGGATTCATGGACAGAAATTCATATCCTATGCATAATATAATCGATGTGAGAGGGGCCAGGATTTAACTGTAAACACAGTTCCTGAATTATTTTTAATTTAGTAGTGATGGAGCTCAGGACTGGGTTGTCTTCTTATTCTCAGCCATGCTACAAAATTGCCAATAAAGCAGGATAGTAAGCCACAGCCCCCAGGACTTGACACTCTCCTTTTAATAAAACCCTGAAGTGTCCATAGTTCTCTAACATCACCTGAGGGTGAACATAAGACATTTGCAATAAATTTTTATTTTTACTGCTGCTGTAAATTGTATTTTTAAAACCCTCCTTAAAGCATAAACACATATCAACCATTATATGAATATAAAGACATGCCACAAATTGGGAAAAAATATTTGCAAAAGACATATCTCATAAAGGACTCGTATCCAAAATACATGAAGAACACTTATAACTCAAAGATAAAAGAACAAACAGCCCAATTTAATAAGGAGCAAAAGATCTGAACATATCACCAAAGAAGGTGTACGGACAGCAAATAAGCATATGAAAAGAAGGTCAGCATCATATGTCATTAGAGAATTGCAAATTAAAACAGTAAGATACCACTACATATCTACTAGAATGGCTAAAATCCTAAAATCTGACAATACCAAATGCTGCTGAGTATATGGAGCAACGAGAAGCCTCATTCATTGCTGGTAAGAATGCAAAATGATAAAACAACTTTGGGAGATAGTTTAGTAGTATCTTAAAAAACTAAGTATACTCTTACCATATGATTCAGCAACCACACTTCTAGGTATATTTACTCAATTGAATTAAAGACATATGTCCACACAAAAACCTACACATGAATATTTAGAGCCACTTTATTCATAATCACCAAAAACAGGAAGGAACTAACACGCCCCTCAATTGGTAAAGTTGTGACACATCCAGACAATGGAATATTATGCAGTAATAAATGGAAATGAGCCATCAAGACATGAAAAGACATGGAGAAAACTTAAATGCGTATTGCTTAATGAAAGAAGCCAATCTGAAAAGGCTACATACTGTATAATCCAATGATAGAACATTCTGGAAAAGGCAAAACTGTGGTGACAGTAAAAAGATCAGTGGTTGCCAGGGGTTGGGGAGAGTTAGGAAGGGTGAACAAGCAGAGCACAGGGAATTCTTGGGGCAGTGAAGCTATTCTGTGTGATACTATAATGGTGGATACATGACATTATATATTTGTCAGAATCCGTAGAACTATACAACCCAAAGAGAGAACCCTAATGTAAATTATGGGCTTTAATAATAAATCAACAATCGTTTAATCATAAAAAATACATCATACTAACGCCAAGATGGTGATAATAGGAACAATTTTATGCCACACAGGGAGTAGATGGGAATTCTTGTACTATCTCATCAATTTTTTGAAAATCTTAAACTGTTCTTAAAATAAAGTTTGTTAATTAAAAAAGGCACACACTGATTATCTCAATTGACGCAGAGAAGGCATTTGACAAAATTCAACAGCCCTTTATGCTAAAAACCCTCAATAAACTCGGTATGGGTGGAACGTATCTCAAAGTAATAAAAGCTATTTATAACAAACCAACAGCCAATATCATACTGAATGAGCAAAAACTGGAAGCATTCCCTTTGAAATCCGGCACTAGACAAGGATGCCCTCTTTCACCACTCCTATTCAATATTGTACTGGAAGTTCTAGCCAGAGCAATCAGGCAAGAAAAAGAAATAAAGGGTATTCAAATAGGAAAGGTGGAAGCCAAATTGTCACTATTTGCAGATGACATAATAGTATACCTAGAAGACCCCATCGCCTCAGCCCAAAAACTCCTGAAACTGATAAGCAACTTCAGCAACGTCTCAGCATACAAAATCAATGTGCAAAAATCACAAGCATTCCTATACACCAATAACAGACTTAAAGAAAGCCAAATCAAGAACGAACTGTCATTCACAATTGCTACAAAGAGAATAAAATACCTAGGAATACAACTCACAAGGAACGTAAGGGACCTCTTCAAGGAAAACTAAAAACCACTGCTCAACAAAATAAGAGAGGACACAAACAGATGGAGAAACATTCCATGTTCATGGTTACAAAGAATCAATATCATAAAAATGGCTATACTACCCAAAGTAATTTACAGAATCAACACTATCCCCATCAAGCTACCATTGACTTTCTTCACAGAACTGGAAAAAACCACCATGAACTTCATATGGAACCAAAAGAGAGCCCACATAGCCAAGTCAGTTCTAAGCAAAAAGAACACAGTGGGGGGCATCACA